GAGGATCGAACCCGGGTCCTGCCCATGCTAAGCGAACGCTCTACCTCTGAGCCACAATCCCAGCCCCTATCTAATTGTTCTTTGTAGTTTCAAAAGCAGTAATATGACTAGCTTCTTCATTTTTACCAAAATTTTTATTAAACCATAATTTCTAATTTTGATTTTCATTTAATTAAGGAGCATATAATATATTTTGGAGGGGGCAGTAACTGGGGATTGAGCCATTACAGGTGTGTGCCACCACACCTGACAGGGAGAATCCAATATACTTAAGTTTGGTGATTACTTCTCAATTTAAACTTGTCTTAGTTCAGGCTGCTATAACAATGAGGCCATGGATTAGGTAGTTTAAGCATTTGCTGGATGTGGTGGTGCACACCTATAATCCCAGTAGCTCGGGAGGCTGAGGCAGAAGGATAGCAGGTTCAAAGTCAGCCTCAGCAACAGCAAGGTGCTGAGCAACTCAGTGAGACCCTGTCTCTAAATAAAATACAAAATAAGGCTGGGGATGTGGCTCAGTGGTTGAGTGCTCCTGAGTCAATTCCTGGTACCTGCCCCTCCCTCCCCAAAAAAAAAAAAAGCACTTATTTCTCAGTTTTGAAAGCTAGGAAATCCAAGATCAAGGTTCCAGCAGGTCGAGTATCTGGTGAGGACTAACTTTCCAGTTTGTAAATGTCTGTCTTCTCATTATACATTGTGCAAGGCAGAGGGAAGAGATAGTGGAAGCAAGTGCTCTCTCTTTTTTTTTCCCCCCCCAAAAAAGCTCTTCCTTGTTTATTCTTTCAAGGACACTAATCCCATTCATGAGGGCTCCACTCTCATGACCTAATTATCTCTCACAGGTTCCACCTTCAGACATGGTAACATTGGGGATTCAGCTTCAATATATGGATTTTGAGAGGACATAAACATTCACTCTACAGCAAGAATATATTCACTGTGTGCCTTATTTAAGGCACCTCATTAAGGTTTTCTTTCATAGGATTTCGCAAGTTCTCAGTCTAAAAATTTCTGTACAGCCTGGAAAAGTTAAACGTGGAATCAACAAAAGAGCCCAAGCTTTTTAATCTTTGAGAACCACATGGTCTCTATCAAAACTACTCAAGTCTGCTACTATATTATAATAACAGCCACAAAAAAAATATAGACAATGACTATGGTTGTGTTTTAGTAAAACTTCATTTACAAAACAACCAATGGGACAGATTTGGCCTGCAGACCATAGTTTGATTACCCCTGAATTAATCCATTGTCTGATTAATATATCATCTTAAAGTAAAATATGAAACATAGTATAAATGGTTTAGTTATTTTTTTTTAAATCATTTCTTTTTAATATATATTTTAGTTTAATATATACTATTTGATCCTAAACCTCTGAACTATTCTAATGCTTATAATGCCATAAGTTCTTACTAAACAAAATAACCAGTTGGGGTAGGACAGGGGAGGTAAAAGATAATTTGAGATACTTATTAATTACTGTGTAAGGTAGGTAATAATTGATAGTATTCTGTATAAATTTCACATTTCTTTTATGGGGAAATCTATCTTATTGTACATTTTATTTTTATATATGTGTGTAACAATTATTTTTAATTATGTGTTTCCATTCTTGCATTTCCTTGCATTCTCAGTCTCTCATTCCTCTAATTAAACATTATGTTCTCATTTTTGCTTTCCCCTTAGAACACAGACCACTTAGATAGACACCTTACCTTTCAAAACGTAAGATTCAATTGATCAGACCAAAATCTCTTACAGTATAGTTTTCTAAATATTTTTTGAATACATCTTTCCCCACCTTGAAAACCCATGAGAGTAAGCAGTAGGATTTTGTATTCCACACTTCATTAAAAATATCTTGGGCTGGGGATATGGCTCAAGCGGTAGCATGCTCGCCTGGCATGCGTGCGGCCCGGGTTCGATCCTCAGCACCACATACAAACAAAGATGTTGTGTCCGCCGAAAACTAAAAAATAAATAATAAAACATTTTTTTAAAAAAAATCTTAAATTTACCCATTTTGAATAGGCACAGGGAAAGAGTATAGAGAAGAATATTGTTTTCATTCCACATGAATTAGTATTTTTTCTGTATTGCAAACCATTTATACCACAGTAGTCCCCGTGCTTATTATCCACAGGGGATATGTTTGTTCCAAGACCTCCCCAATGGATGCTGGAAATCTCTAATAGTACGAAACCCTATATACACACACACATACACACACACACACACACACACACACACACACACTGTGATTGTTGATTTGATAACCAATAAAGTTACTAAATGACTAGACAGGTAGCATATGCTGCATGAATATACTAGTCAAAGGCATGATTTACATCCTGGGCATAATGGAGCAGCCAATGAAAGATTTCATGATGCCACTTAGAACAAACATTTTAAAACTTAAATTGTTTATTTCTGGAATTTTCCATGTAATATATATTTTCAGCTGCTGTAAACTGAATGTAATTGAAAACACAGAAAGTGAAACTGCAGATAAGGTGGGATTTCTATACCTTCTAAGATATATTGCCAAGTTTGATGACTTCTTATTAGCCAAGTCCTATGGGTCTTGTGCTAGTTCTTATACTCTTAGATTCCCTTAATTCAATTTGCCAGCTGGCCTGTCCTCAAGTTTTATTAATACTGGGATGTGATTCTTTTTCCTTGCATTCAGTTTGATCTTTCAGTGTTATTTTCAGAAATTTATTTCTTCCTCTTTTATCAACTAATAATTATAGCACTATTCTCTTTGCCCTCCCTCCTAAGGGAGTTTTCCAGTTTTCATTTATATTTTACTAGTGTTTTAATTTGATGCCAGTGCTTGCTTCCTTACTTAATTCTAACTTAATCTTATAAGTATTACCACCTGGTTGATGGTTGCATCCTCCTCAAACTGAAGATCATGAGTACACAATAATCTCACATTTTATTTTCAGAATCCTCACTGTTGATCTGTTAGTCTGCCCATCAAACTTCTCCTCTAAAATAAAAACAATACCAGTGATTTATCTGTCTTCATGATCTATTTTATACTGTTTTATACTATTTTATTACTGACATGTCTATTTTATACTGTTTCCCCTTTTTTAGCTCAGTAACTCGCTAAGCATGATAGATTTCATTTCTCTTCACTGCCAAATCCCTTTACAATGCTCTATTCCAGTGGGATTACTATATATTTCTTTAAAACTTCTCCATTTTCAGTTTCCATGCTTTTAATCATGTATAAAATCTCAGATCAATTTTTTAATCTAAAATTAGTATTTTCCCTCTTATCGTTCTATTCAACTATCCACACTCATACAAATTCCTTAACAATAAATAGTATTTTCTAATTTTCCAGTATTCATTAACTTAAATTACTTGTATATGTATATAATGAGGCTAGCACTGATCCCTGTCTTCTCTTGAGCTTTTAATCAAGCAATAAATACATAAAATAGTTTGACTTCACTTTTCTTTCTCCTAAGTGAACTAGAATATACTGAATTGTATACAGCCAATAAGCTATGAGTAACTGACTAGGCATGAAGAGCTGTATATTATCACAGTAGATTTCACTTATGCAACAAATATTCTCACTAACTGCTTGCTAGTATTGTAGACACTGATAATAAATACAGAAGTGAATAATATTAAGTGGGAAATATTAACTGGGAAAGCCAGGCCACTCAATACATTAACAACCAGACAAGTTTGAACCCATAGGACCTGTGCTACTTCTCACGTGGTAGATACTAGCTACATGCAACTATTTAATTTCAAACTTAAATTAAATTTAAAATTTAGTTTCTCATTTGCAATTAGCCACATTTCAAGTATAGCCTCGTGTGACTACTTACTAGTGTATGTGACTTTGTAGATATAGAATATTTTCACCAACATAGAAAATTCTCTTAGCACTACTTTAAAGATTTTGCAACAAATATGAAAAACTAAAAAGCTTGATCCCCTAAATAAAGAGCTAGCCAAAGTTCAGAGTGCCAAAAATGTAGTCTCTATGATCCAACTGACTTTTTTTATAGCTTTTTAACCACAATTTATAATTATCTCTTAATAATTCTGGACTCAGTTGGGTATATCTCATTTAGGGTCTCACTTGTGGTTGCATTTCATTGTCAGCTTGAAGCTGTAGCCATCAGAAGACTTGCCTAGGCTGTATGTCCTAGCAGGCACCCAAGGAATCTTCACACACACACAAAAATCCCAGATGATCCAGATATATGGAATTACTTTATAGATTATACAGCAGAAGTACCTTACAAATAAATACCAGTCCGGACATTCCTGTTTTTTAGTTATTTTTTAGTTGTAGTGGGACACAATACCTTTATTTATTTATTTTTTTATGTGGTGCTGAGGATGGAACCCAACCCAGGGCCTCGAACATGCTAGGCAAGTGCTCCACCGCTGAGCCACAACCTCAGCCCTACCATTCCCATTTTGAAGAGCACTTTTGTGGGGTTTTTTTTTTAACTTTCTAAATGGCCTGCCAAGCACTACTACTCTTAAAAAACAAGTTTTTTTACAAAAAGCCTTAGAAGTTACTCATTGTTTAAATTCTCTTATGGGAGAGAGTTATGTTTTGTTCTTAAAATAGTAAAATGAATAAAATTTCAAATAGTACAGAAAAAAAAAACAAGTTTTTTAAACTCACCTGATGGAAGGAAATGTTATATAATACACTTGTAATTCATGGTGACATGTTCTTAATTTTATGTACTAAATATTATACTCTACACTAGACTAGAAATTCTCTAGTACAGGTGGTAAACTCTTGGAAAGCAGAGAGCAAGACTTTCTAAAGTTCTGAACTCTCCTAATAATCAGCTTCTCACTTCATAGCTTTCAAATTTAATTAGTACCACAGGATCTACAAGTATTTAGTAAATGTTGATTGATGATCTACATTCATCTACTCTAACTTACTCCTTTTTTTCCCTATACTTTTTTTCTGATCTTATTTTCTCTTTACTTAACAGACAGTGTGGAGCATTCATTATTAAGACAATTGGGCAGCTCTAGTCCAGCTCAACTGATTTCTTGTCCAATGATCCTTGTGTGACCAAGATCCAACTTCAAGGAACCGGCTAGAAGCTGCCCGTTGTGAAACTTAGGGTTAGTTAATAACTCACAATACTTTTTTATTCCACTATAAGCTGTCTAAATTTGATGAAATTTGCTTTTTCAGCTGTTTTAAAAAATTATTTAGATAGATGTGATATGTTTTTTATGTGTTAATCTAACTGTAGTGACATTTTCTACATGTTTTATCCATTCATAAATAATAACCACATTGGGAATAGTGAGGTGTCTTTCATTTTCTCTGCTTTGTGTTATTTTTCTTCTCAGTCTTTTAGATACTATATTCCATATCCTTTTATATTTATTTTAATTAGGATAAGAACCATTTCTAATTCTAATAGAATTCTAATACTTCCATAACTTTAGAACATAGTATATTATTTAGCCTTTATGATTTAGTCTTATTACTTTGATATTTTGTCATTTAATATGCTTTCATCTAATTTTTTATTTGTTACTGATACTTCTTATTTAACTTTGCTTCCACTGTGGTTTTCAGAATTTAAATAGTATTTATACTTCTTTTATTATAACATCTTCTAAATATTAGAAATATTATCAACATGGTCAATATTCTTGGCTTTTCATGTGATTAACTGTATTAAATTTTTCTCTAAGGTTTGAGAAAATACTATAACCCTCCTATAACATCATCCATTTGATAACAAATTTTACATAATATAGATTTACATCATAGAATTTTGATAAAAGAAGGGCTACCTCTAACATGATCCTGTAACATTGACTGACAGTCCACTATATTAATGTTCTTAGAATGCTTTAATCTTCTTACTACCTTATTTTTTACCAATATATCTATGTGATTAACTTTTAAAAAGACAATTAAATGTTTTCATAAAATACAAAATTATTTCTTGCACTAAAGGAAAACTTTAGGTTCCAACTCTAAAGCCAATTCATAATATAAAATTGGAATTGAAGCAGGGGGTTGTTGTTGAAAAGACACAGAACAAATCATAAGCATTTTTAATTACTAAAATTTCTATAGTACTACAAGAAATGTCCCTTTTATTTTCATTTACAGTTCTTTCACTGATCCCTAATTTTAGAAAAGAAAGAGGAAAGACTAAATATTGGCATGACCCTAATAAATTTAACTCTTCCCTGTCCTGTTCCAACCCTAAATGTTTTCCATGCTCAGCAGCAGCAGCAGAAATGACAGGACATAAACCCTAAAGTTCTTTCCCAGTGAGTCAAATAGTGTTTTTTTTTTAAACCATAATGAATATATTTGCCAATCAAATGGTTTCCTGAGAATAGTAAGACCCTATGAATGTATACTAGCATACAAGGATCTCATGTACATTAATTACCCTCAGTTTTAGAAATGTAAATAGACTAATAAGTCCCATAATGAAATTTTGAAAGTTTTTGTTCTGTAAGTAAAAATATTATTAAACACTGATGTTAGAGATTTTCTTTTAATAGCACTCTCATTAAGAACAAAAAAGTTAATGTTTTGATTTTCAAAATGTTAAACATGATGCTAAACAAATCCTGGACTGTTAATAAAAAATAATAATGTATTATTGGGCAAGGAATTTTGATAATAATTGATACCTAAGTGTGTTTTTTCCACAGTTATATGGAATATATGCACACACATAAACATTATATACATACATATAGATTGTATGTGTACATATGCACATTTTATATGTACACACCCATATATGGTTCCTACATGTATATTTTCTTAGAATTTATCTTTATTTTTGAGATTAGCAAAAACTTTCGACTTTTTTTTTTTTTTTAGTTTTATGTGGACACAATATTTTTATTTTATTTCTATGTGGTGCTGAGAGTCGAACCCAATGCTTCATGTATGCTAGGCGATAACTTTTATCACTGAGCCACAACCCTAGCCCCCTTTGGACTTCATTGACAATCTAAATATATGGATGGTATACGTCCTTTTTATTTATGTATCATTTATTTGTTTTTGTATTTGGTATTAAATCTAGAGCACTTAACCACTGAGCTAAGACCCAAGTCCTTTTTATTTATTTTTATTTTTTTGAGTCAGGGTCTCCCTAAATTGCTTAGGATCTTGCTAAGTTGCTGAGGCTGGCCTCAAAATTGCAATCCTCCTGCCTCAGTCTCAGAGTCACTGGAATTACTGATGTGTGCCTCCATACCCATCTATCCATTCTTTTTATGGCCTAGTGTGATAGCCCTAACACATTACTTCTATACAGATGAATTAAGAGGATGAAAATTCTCACACACATTAAGTGAAGTCCATTGTTACTTTTCTATTTTTGTAGTATTTCATCAATCAATAATTTTGAAAAGTAAGTGTTTACTTACTTAATACCCATATTGAAAAGCCAATCTAAAGAAATTATCCAAAATTCACTGTTTTAAAGTGAAACAGATGATACAAATATTAGTACATGTACTAAAATCACAAGGTAATGACTTTGCAACCTGTTTTTCCAAAATATCTAATGCAACTGAATACAAAAGGATCTTGGAAAATTAAGACTTTAACTTCTTCTGTCAGCTGATTTCAGAAGGATTGCTTGGAAAGAGGTATGATTTAATTTATAACAGTTTTATAAATTTCCACCAACAATGGCAGTACAATATTTTTGAACAAATTTATATAACTATAAAATAAAGAATGGGGTCACAAAAATTCTTTGTATTTTTCCCAGAAATTCTGCCTACATAACATTAAAATACAGAATCAAAGGATTGAAAAGGACTTTAGGAGAGCATCCAAATTCAACTTAAGATATCATGCTTCAATGTGCTCTATTGTTATAGTAAGTCAATGTCCGCTGGACCTATACTTTGACAAAATTTATTCTGGAATCCCTGAAGACTTAAAAAGGGCAAAAGAAAACTTTTTACCCAAAAGGTGGATATGAATAATGTTAATGCTGGTACTGTTTATTTCAACTTAATTGTTTCCGTCTCTGTTCATACCTCCCTAAAAAGATGTTTAAGTTTCCATCCTTCCATGTTGAAAACCACTCTGATTACCAGCTACAAGGGCTGCTGTTTGTTGGACCTGCTGTATATTTCTTGTCCCTTTGCTTTTATAGATTGCATAAATTTTGTATTTTATACATTCTTACTGGACCCTTTCAGAAATCAAGTGCTATTCAAGATTACTTGTTTTATTTCACATTGTCATTTTTTTATTTTCCCTTTCCATGTGACATTATCCTTCATTTTTCCATATATTAGTTTTGTGGTTATCTTGATATCACCCACTTTATGCCCTGTCAGGATCTGAAAATATAACTGGCATAAATTTCAAACTAGTGAACAGATAACTAGATAACAGACTTCTAATCTTAATCATTAGTATTAACTTCGAGGAGCAGTGGCTCACACCTGTAATATCAGTGGCTCAGGAGGCTGAGGCAGAATGATATTGCAAGTTCAAAGCCAGCCTTAGAAACTTAAAAAGGCCCTAAGGAATTTGCTGAGACCCTGTCTCTAAATAAAAAATAAAATGTAACTGTGGTTAAGTGCCCCTGGGTTCAATCCCTGCTATAATAAATAAAATATTATCAATATAATTGCCAAGGTTGATGATAGTTAACTAAAAATACATAGTAAAAGGCTGAATAGTTATTTTATTTAAGGTCTCACTTGTGATATATTTACATCTTATATTTTTTAGCTAAGAGAAGCCAAATTTTGATTATTTAATAATATTTTAGGGTGATTTTCTTAGTAAAGCTAGAATGTTAACCTCAGTTTTTCATTTCTATCAAGCTATATACCTGTAGAGTAATTGTTATTAGTATTTTAATAAAAGTGATATGGGTCACACACATCTCCTTGGTATATTTCGTCCCTTTGGAAAACAGAGGGTATGAGAAACAATCTCTCTCTATATAGAGTAGACTAAAGCCCTTCCTTTCCCTACCAACTTAGGGTCTTCTCCTCACTTCAGCCCTTTTACTTACTGTTTGCTCATCAGAGAAAATCTGGATGATCCTAGATTATCTTCTTCTGCATTTCCTCCTTTGTTAGATAAAACATCTCTTGTGGGGGAAATAATGCTTTTAGGAAATGATAGTTTTTTAATATTACTTTATAAGACAATCAAGTTTCTTACCTGAAGTATAAAGGCTTAGAAGTAACTAAGAAGTAACTTACGTTTTAGCTTTTATTTTATCCCATTACTTACCACTGGCAAGTTTTGTGGAAGTCTCTCTAAATCCTTGTCTCTCGTCTTTGATAGGCTTCAGTAGTCTAAAAGTTTTCCCATTGGAAAATTCCAAGCTAGAACCTAAACTGCACTCTTCCTATCCCATGAGTTGACTACTGTTTCATGATCCTACTAGTTAACTCTTCAATCTGGGAAATATTTGGTCTACTCACCTTTCCAGCTTTTGTTTTTGTACCAGGGATGAACATAGGGGTGCTTAACCACTAAGCTACATCCCCATTTCTTTTCATTTTTTTGAGATGGGGTCATGTTAAGTTGCTTATGGCCTTACTAATTGCCAAGGCTGGCTTTGAACTTGCAATCCTCCTGTCTCAGCCTCCTGAGCCACTGGGATTTCAGGCATGCACCACCAACATGCAGCCCCTTCCAGCTTGTTCTCCAAGTATCATATTCTTTTTTGAATCAGTTTTTTTTAAAAAACTCAAGTGTTCTGATGATGAGAAAGACCTACCTTTATTCTGACTTTTCCCCTTGCTAGCTACTAGTCGTTTAAGGAACCTCTACTTTTATTTTGGGTTGAATTTCTCTAAATTTTTAAGGATTTGATCTACCTAGTTTATTTAATCTTCTTGATTGAAAATGATAGAACTTAAGGATATGTATTATATACCCATTATTTGTATATTGTCTCTCATCTTTCAAATAACCCAAGTAAGCACAGTATTGTTTAATATTAATAGTTTTGCCCAATTCCAACCATATTACAAATGATTTAAACTCAAAGGATATTCCCATATTAAAAAATGCCCACAAGAAGCTAAATAAATTCTAGATTTGGAGAATTTCTCAAAAGTAGGAAAGGGGGAAGGAAGTATCC